AGAGGATGAGGAAAGAGAGAGAGAGAGAGAGAGAGAGAGAGAGAGAGAGAGAGAGAGAGAGAGAGAGAGTCTTAAGGAAATGCAAGGTTGATATTAGTTAAGTCGACCGTTTCTTTATTGGGTCGTGTTATGATTAGGCAAGCTGGTTTGTTAGGACCCTGAAGGCATCAATGAACGAATACTGAACAGATGTATGGTTTGCGATACGTGATGGCATTACGGTTGAGAAAAAAATCCAAGTTGTACTTTGGGGGGACTCGTGTATTTGCTTGTGGTGCTTTGTTTTCCTCAGGAAACGTTTTATTGTATACTGCGTCCTGATTGCCGAGTTCAGTATGTTGCTTGTTCCATGTTTTGGCTGTTTTGACCAGCTCTCCTTTCTGGTTTTCAATGACGTTGTGACAGAGCTCGGTATTGAGGAGAAGTCGCTTGCAGAAATGGCGAACTCTGCGCTTTTGGCCGCCCAGGATTCTGACAAGGTTTGTTTCCCTTTATTCTGATACCTTCCCTTCATCCGAGGAATTCCACTCAGTCCCAGTATTACTATCCTCGTTACTTGATACAAGCATCAGAATGTCAATTTTTTGCAACATCGCCGTCATATTCGCAACAGCGTCGGCATTTGTATCAATTCACGTTTGTTTGTAGGTTTTGCAAGTTTTGTTACCTTGTTTTTTTTCGGGACCTGAAATCGAAAAAAAACAAGAATTCCACAGCCAAGGAAATTGGGATTCCATGGTCCAAATACAAAGATGCAATGGCTGATAGCATGCACAACGCTCCCAGTCGATTATTGGCTTTAGATGCACAGAAACCGCTGAAAATAGAACTGTACGGAGGTCTGCTCAATCGATTGATGGCTTTACATGCACAGAAAATGCTCAGCGTCCGACTGTATGGAGATGCGGTCAATGCGTGTCAATAACCAGATAGAAGACATAACAGACTGCGTACTAGCCTGCAAGAAAGCGACCGGGCTCTGGGACCGCGTTAAAAGGCTATGTTTGCCCTATTCCCACATCCCCTCTCTTCCTCCCCCCTCAGCATTCTACTTTGGATAAACCTGTCCCTTTCCGTACAGAACAAGGTGGAAATGTGATTCCTTCTTCTCAGGAAGGTTATAAATTATAATCTGCATCATTTGGAAGAGGGGGTGCTCCCAGATTATTGACGAGCAGAAGCTTGACAAGGAAACACCCCGACCCGGCTGATTGAATGAGTGGAAACAGAGATCTGCTGCAGGTGGTTCAAGGTCCCCGAACGACAAACGGGACAAGTTACAGCAACCCTCAATTTTATATATATATCGTCAAATAGAACTGCCCGGTAAACCGTAGGCAGAGAGGGAGAAGAGAACAACAAACGAGGGGCTGTGACAAACTGTTTCTATTATATATTATATATATGCTACATATTCAAATGACCCCTCCTAAGGAGTTAAGAACCCGCAACCACCACTTAACACGTCCCCTTGTCGGCTGCAGGATCCTTCATATAGCCAACTGGAAAGCAATGACAACGAGTAAGGATTACAAACGGCGCAGCGGAACACGACCTCCCCCCGCGGGCCCACCGCGCTTAAGGGGTAGGATATATATATATATATATATATATATATATATATATATATATA